GGCGGGGGAGGGGGAGGACCAGCAACAACGCTTGAATTGACCTTTTCATCTTTACTCTCCCCTTTAGGCTCGTCCACTCTGATGGCCGGGGTGTTTGATTCAGGGAAAGGCGGTTCGTCAGCAGCGGCCGTCGTTTCGTCCTCTTCAGCGCCAATCTTAGGTACTTTCGCCGCAATCTCGCCGAGAAGGCCAGTGGCCTGAGCAGGGTTCATCCGGGGTCGTTGGATGTCCACAAGACGCGCTTTCTCGTACACAGTTTCACCATCTTCGTTGTTAGTCTGCCCAAGACCCTCACCAACGGCATCATCTGCTCCCGGAACAAGGCTCCTTTTTCGATAAACAGATCCTAGGGCGTTGCTATCTAGGTTCCGACGTGCATGTTCCTGGAAGTCATCGCTGGGTTCAGGTTCACCATCCATTTGCTCTCGTAACTCTCGTAGCCGGTCCGAGGGGCCATGTTGACCCCAGACTTTGCCTTCTAACTTGAACTGTGTTTTTGTCCTTTCGAGTTGCATTTCCAACCTCTCCAGGAGTTTTTCACGGTCTAGGATACCTCTCATATGTGAAGGATCTGTCTCAGCCATGTTGTGCTTCTTAGCATTTGATGCGGCTATATCCTGAGCATCTCGAAGCATCAAATAAAGCTCGCGGGTCTCCAACTCATTACGCTGAAGCTCTTGAGCCCGAAGCCTTTGGAGATCGGCAACCTCAGCTTTAATCATTTCGTTTTGCCTCGATTGAAGCTCGATGATGCCTGTTTGCTCATCAATCTGTTTCTGTAGTTTCTTAACCAAACCATCCGCACCTAGTTCAATCTGTGCCTTCATCTCATCCCGTTCAGCGATTGCAGCCTCCGCAATTTGACGGACCTCTAGAGATTCATCATATGCCCGTCTCGCTTCTGCATCGGTATGAAGCCGATCTAGAAGACTTTGTACGGTAAAGGTCAAGCCCTGTCGGAGATCGAGATCAGGAAGTCTCCGATCCATAGCAACGTAACTAAGCATAGCATCTACAAGCTGGTACATGCGTAAACCATCTTCACCAGAGTTCTCACGAATCAGGAGAAGATGTTGCATAGCAGAGAGGAAATAATCGTGAGCCCGGGTTCCCTGGATTTTAGTTGCAATAGCATCGGTGATTTGCAGCGGGTCACTCATATCCTTCACTTCACCCTCGATGCTATCCTTCATACTGCTGCTCTCCCGCTGTAAAAGGTCTTCGTAATCAATGGCCTCATTCTCCCGGAATCGTTCGATCTGTTTGTCGATGACCTCATACTGGAAGCCCTCCATCTTCGTCAAAAGGCGCTTAATTCCACAAGAGATGAACTGGGCCCTGATATGGCATCGTAATTGCAAGTCGTTCTCCCCCGCATCAACTAACATGTTAATAAGAAGCATGGTGGAAACGGCATACTCCATAAGAAGGTTTTCCATTCCGATGCCGCCGCTGCGATATTCTTCGCTCGCACCTACTAAACTACCCATTTTCCCACGGCCATCAATTGTTACTTCAACTATCCGCATCCAGGCATCAAAACGCCCGGTTTCGCCCTGATGGTTCTTGACATGATCCATGGCTTGGAGAACCTTCTGGTGGCCATGTCCTTCCGCCCAGTGACATAGGAAAGTTAAGACCTCGCTGACCAGTTTCCTAGTATTAAGCCGAGGGGAGAGCAACGAGCTCACAAGAGCTATAATGACCTGCTGGTGATCTAGAGCATCATCCGCACCATACATATTGTTCATCAAGGCTTTCAAACACTTGACGATATCATATTCGCGATCTAGATCCTTATCACCGGTTGGAGGGGCCGGGACAGGACCTGAGGCTTTGCGGCGGTTCATCTTCGAGAGAACATTCGTAAGAGCTATTTGACCCTGTGCCTCAACAAAGGCCTTCACCCAGCTAATTGGCTGTGTCCTCAGGCTGACACTTAAGCTAGCCAGCTGCTTCGAGGTAATAGAGTCATCCATGACCTTCTTGACGTACCACTCCGGGCTTCCTTCCTCATCCGCTCGCTCAAGAATACCAACTGGGCCGTCCTGACCATGTGTCTGGCGCGCATTCTGTCTGCGCTTTTGTTCCCCTTGCAGCTCTGTCAGCCTGTCTTGGTGAACAAGTGTCCATTTCTTAGAAGCCGGATATGCGAGCATCTGTCTCTTCGCCTGTTCTGGGAGGTTTTGCCAGCCTCGCTTCTGCATCAATTCCAGGAATAGCTGGTCGACAACACGATCATCCCTCGGTCGAGCGAGATATTGTTCAGGGTTAATCGGAGAAGGTCTCGGCTGTGCAGCCGGCGGTGGCTGCCAATTCGACTGAGTCGAAAGTCGGTTTGGATTCCCACTCGGGAAATAGGTACTTCGATCAGCCGAATGAGTCGTAAGTGTACGTGATGATCCATCAGACGAGAAATGACTGGAACCGCGGGTGTTCGAGGAAAGCGAGGAATGGACGCTAGCTTGGTCAAAAGATATACGTGAATTAGATGAGGAATCAACCGTCGAAGAAGAGTTGTGACTGAATCCAGTATTGGCGGCTGAACTTCCTGGTCGTCCCCATTGTTGGTACCGTGCACCTTTATCCCCCGTATTACTTCCGGTCATTGTTAAATTCGAGGCATGTGGTGGTGGACGAGGGCCAGTAGGGTGTGAGTATGTATTGTTATCGCGGACGGAAGAAGGGTTCCATGCAGGGTATTGATGGAAGTCACTAGCCCCTTTAGCCAGGTGATTAGGTGACGGATGACTAGAAGTTTGCTCTTTTCGCGACGGCTCGGGCTTGGAAAGGTATTCGATTGGGATGGGTGTCTTGGTATCCGCAGGGAGACTTTCGAAAGGGATAGACGTTATGACACCAGCGGTCATTGACAGTCCGGAGGGATCAATATCATGTGGATAATCTACAGACAGAACCGATGATCTTTTCGAATGTCGGGACGATCGAGAGCCAGCTGAGCTCCCGGGGGGCGCCAGGTTCTCGAATGATCCGGGCCCGTCATATCGATCCTCTACTGGCTTTTCCTTATGCAACTTCCTCCCAAAGAATGATTTGCCAGCCGAGGTTTGTCTTGATTTATCAGGTGAGGACGTGGTGGTTGGCATTTTGACGGACGTCGCTGGGAAAGAGCAGGGCGCAGCATGAGCGTTGTCCACAACACACAAAGATTTCCGTTGGGCGCTAAAATGATCCTTCCGGATGAATGACAGCACCTACCACTCCCAGCTCAAGAGATAGCAATGGTAGTATCTGGTTCAAATAAATATGCGGTTCCTCGCACTTCTGGCTGGCACTAGTAGTTAATACCCGCTGCGGAGCAGCGGTAGAAAAGAGAGGGGCCAGATACACGAATTCTTCTCTCTTTGAAACCCACAGCAACTTGGACAGACCGCAGCAAGAAGTGGCGATCCTATCAACTCTAGCAATCCTAGCCTTCAACGGGATCTTTTCCACGTCCAGACCCTATTTGCTGGTGTCTCTTCGCATGTCAGGGCTGAAGCACGGGCATTAGGGGGAAAGCGGGCTCTAGAACGCGATAGGGGCCGCATTCGCACGTGATCTGCATTGGTTTATATCTCCGTGTCACGTGCATTGTAATCGGAGAAAGAGGTGGCCTAGAGGGTCGCCATATGTACGCTATCTGGATCCTTATCTCCAAATAGCAGGCTGCATTGATAGTCCCAACCAAAAGTCAATCCACAAGATATCTTACCCATACTTGAAGATATATTCTATGATGCAGACTTTGATTATGAAGTCACCCTATTAATCGCCACTACCTATCATTGCACCTCTAAGCTAGCATTGTTGCTAGGATACCCCATACCGTCGCAACTTGTGGAATTCAGCTTAGGCAAAAGCAGTCGAAATGGGCTCAGCATCAAACTTCGCCAAGGTATTCTCTCTACTCATCAATCCGTGACAAGATCGTACTCATCTAAACCTATCACTATCGCTCAGACAATCATCATCCCAGCCGCCATCTCCCTAGCGCTCTACCTTCTCTTGTCGTTCCTTATAATCCCTTTCTTCCGTCGCTATCACCAACGATACTCACAATATCTTCCCTTACACACCATCTCTGCGCATACCTCCACACTCCGGGACCGTATCGCTGATGCAATGATGCGTCTATTTCTACCGACAGCATGGCGACAACAGGCACGATTTGACGACCAACACGATAACATTAGTATCTTTGACGAGGAAGGAGAGATCATGGTTGGGATGGATATGGACCCTGCACGAAGGGAAGCCCTGGAACGACGGCGCAGTACTGTTGCCGAAGCAGAAAGCCGACTCAGTCGTGAGCTGGAAGAAGGATTTATGGACGACAGTGATGAAGAGGGAGATGGTCGACAAGGCACAAGAGGACATTGATATTCCTTCGTAGACATTCACGGGTCCGTATGGCGTCTGAAACGGCTTAGACAAGATAAATACCTGCGACTATGTCCGCTGCATCAACTATCCTCTCCAACGTACCCTTTCTGCATCGCGTGACAGTTTGATTCCAGACTGTAAGCTAGCCCTGTAGAAAACACTTCCAGGGCCCGATGGAAACTAGTATTCAGCGTGCCCTGCCAAGGGGACGTCATTCACAATACAACTGGGGATAAGGCCTTATCTGGCCCGCAGATCCATTCCAATGACGCCACGCCATACCATGATGGTGACCCATAATACCGCTGATGCTATATGGTGAGTGAAGAGAAAAACAATCGCACTCCAGGACACTCTCAACACACTCTTATCCATCCAAACCGATGGCTATTTCAAGCTGAGGCCAATCGTGCAAGTCCATCATCGACTATAATTAGTAGACCATATACATTACCAGCCCATATATACAGCTTCTAACAAATGTGGGTAAGCTACACAGTTCACGGTTCCCAGCCAAAATTCAGTACACGCTCTCCATGAATATTTAGGTACCTCCACCTTGATATATCCACAGCGGTAAGTACTTAACTGTGCTGAACTGTGGTTGGTTAAATCAAGCTTCAGATGATCTGCAGTCTCCACAAGGATCAACAAAAGTATGCCCGAGAAATATGTCCTCTCAGTCGGTAGGCTACTAGACAAGATTTGTATGCCCTAGTACGATTCTACAGCAGAAATACTACTGATCTACCAGAAATTTGCCATGCCAATAACAGGTAAAAACAAGATAATATGAATTTTAGGTATCATAAGTAAACATCGCCCTGATCCTTGAAGGGCTGTTCAGATCAGAAGCATACGCTAAGAAACATTCTAACCCATTCATTCCAAAGTGATTGGAGAGACCTAAGCCTTGTTCCTTTGACCGTAGGCCTTAGTAACGTAATCACCGCCGCGAACAATGAGATCCTGGTCCCTGTAGTCATGACGGCCAGAGAAGTAGCTCTCGAGAATAGCCTTGGTGCCTTGAGCGTAACGGATCTGTGCGTCAATCGAGGTACCAGACATGTGAGGAACCATGGCGTTACCACCGCCCCATGGGCCCTGGACATAGCGGAGTGGGTGGTCCTTCGGGGCGGGCTGGGGATACCAGACATCACCACCGTAGCCTCTCAAGTGGCCAGACTTGACAGCTTCAGCAACATCCTCCTTGACAACGATGGCACCACGGGCAGTGTTAACGAGCCACGAGCCTTGATGAGAGATTAGTTAATGTCCAAACAGCCTCAGTTGGGTGTACCACGGTACTACTTACCCTTCTTCATCTTGGAGATCAGGTCCTTGTTGAACAAGCCACGGGTCTTCTCGTGCAAGGGGCAGTTGATAGTGACAACATCGCACTGAGCAAGCATCTCCTCGAGGGAGTCAACACGACGGCAGCCGATCTCCTTTTCAACCTCGGGGCTAAGGGGCTGGTAGTCGTAGTAGAGAAGCTCCTTGCAGTCAAATGGCTTAAGGCGACGGAGGACACGCTCGCCAATACGGCCGACAGCAACAGTTCCGACGACCTTACCCTCCAAGTCGAACTCATTCTTAGCGACAGCAGCAACGTCCCACTCACCGCGGGTGATCTGCTCGTGAGCGGGGACAAAGTTACGGACCAGGGTTAGGATGGTCATCACAACGTGTTCCGCGACAGAGGTGACATTACAGCCAGTCACCTCAGCGACAGTGATACCGCCATTAGTCTTGTTGGCAGCGTTCAAGTCAACGTGATCCGATCCGACACCAGCAGTGACAGCGATCTTGAGGTTCTTGGCCTTAGCCAGGCGCTCAGCGGTGAGATAGCGGGGTGGAAGCTACAGCACAAGGTTAGCCGATGATTCAGAACAGGGATTCCTACGGGGTACCAGGGTTCACGAACGGTGTGGTGATGATAACTTCGGCGTCAACGAGTTCCTTGTCGAAGGTAGAGTTCTCACCCTCCTTATCAGAGGTGGTGACGAGAGTGTGGCCCTGTTCCTCCAACCACTTTCTCAATCCAAGCTCGTTCTCGGTGGTACCCAAGAGTCCGGGCTGTTGCTTGGCGTGCTCGCCGCCCTATAATCAAGCGATCAGCTATTGCTGTTCGTGGCCTTTTGATACACTTTTGATGGAGGACTTACGTCATAGAGGACCATAAGAATTTTACCCTGTGCGCTCGGTCAGTGTATGCGCACCAGTGATAGAGAAAGAACGGGAAAATACCATTTTGAAGTGCTCAATTGATTAAACCACGATAATGATCTTGATGAAAGTAAAAGTGAATGCTACAATCAGATGGTCAGCGGACTATTTAGAATCGACCCCCCAGAGGTCAAATTGTTCTTGACTCTGATGGTTTTAGGTGGGAGAAATCAAATGTAATGGAGAACACGATGGGATGAGATCGAGAACTTGGGGAGGTATACTTACCAAATCCAGGCTGAATAGATGCTGTTTGTTGATGAAAGGGAATGGAGGGGAATTACACCTTAATATATAGTATAGGATGGATTCCCCCGCCTACATCTGAGTAGTATTCCATCTCGGGACCCCTCCCGTCTTCCCCTCCTCATCCTTTCTTTCCTTTGTCCACCCATGCGTAAACTGGAAGCAAGGCGAATAGATGGGCGACCCCACCACCAGTCGATCACGGTGGACACCATGGCACCTCGTATCATTATTCGTATGGGAGGGTGTGGAAAAGAACGAGTGGAACGAGGAGCGCAATCTTCTCCGCACGCGGGACTCCCTCAATTATGGTGAGCACACACTGAGCATCATTCATTAGTCAAAGTTTGGATTCCATCCGCAGATTGACAAGGGGGCGGTTCGCATCGGACAGTATTGATAATGGATAGAAAACAATGTCCATGTAACATTAGTAGTCTAGCCTAGTCTACCCTAAACTCCAAAGCGTTGGACAGACAAAGGTACTAGGTAGATGTCCAATGCGGGGTTCATGTCCAGTATTGGGATTACGTATCTATGGATTTATGTATGTATCCATGCATGTAGTATGTAGAACTAACTTCGTACTACTATCTAAGCATTGGTACGTACCTAGAGGTATGTACCTCCAACTTACTACCTACTCGGAGTAAGTACCCGGTAGTCCCACTGCACTCGTGCTATTCCTATCTGGATAGCTTTCTACCCCTCATGAGGGGTGATCCCATCCTATTGGTCAACACGTCCATGTATGTACTATGTTGGTACGATGGAGGTATGGACGGGAGTAGTATAGGTATAAGTATTAGATACTATGTATACTAAGGACACTAGTACGTCGGGTACCTTACTGTACTAACCTACCTTCATACCTGTGGACCCAACTACTATACTGTGTCGGACAACTACTTAACCTTCCTACTCATTATGGTGAGGGGCACTTCCCCTCATTTTATTGCCGATAATGGTTGATGAACGGTACAGTGGATCTAAATTGCCGCAAGTGGTGCCATTCATCTCTTCGGTTATCCACATTACTTAGATACTCAAAGCCCCCCTCAGTTTACTGTAGCCAGAAAGCTTGCTCTGGCTGGTTGTTATGCTTGGCGAGATCGCATTTGCTCCGCATCAACAAGATCCGATAATCGCAACGAAACGCAGACGCTCTGAAGTCCGAGAATCGACCGTACTTCTACGGACTTGTACAGTACGGAGTTTAGTTTCGATCCCGAATGTGGGAGCTTCGGTATTGAAACCCGCCAGTCCGGACGGTCGACCTTGATAGCTATCGTCTGTCATTTAATGAGGGGAAGGTCCATTAGAGTCTCCACTGTTTCCAGCTCGTACCACCGCATTCCGGCCACATCATGCAACGGGCGGACAAGCGCCTTTGACCCCAATTCACCCATGAGGGAGTAGTTGTAGTTGGGGGCTGGAATTGATGGGGAACAAAAGGTAAAAAGAGAGAGACGCAAAAGGAAGGAGAAGTGAAATCCAGCTACGGCAATATTTCGGCACAGATTGTATAGTCATGCCCGCCCACCGCCATTACCTTCTCACATCGCTGACCCGAATATTTAACTCTCATTCATTTGAGTGCGACGATGGTCCAGATAATTCATGGCGCCTAAAGAATAGAGTCGAGATCTAATGTACAATTGTCTATAGCTACACGGTCATGCCGATTGCCAACCCTGGCAATAAAACGGGCATAACTCCAGTTTAGAATACAATATTAACCAATTTACCCCCCTTGACAACGATCACGCGCCTCCGTTTTTCCCAGTCATTCTTCTCACGCAACCAAGTACGTCCTTCGTCGGTTTCCAGGATGCGATTGATTATAAAATCCTGCTCGCTTGTTTCATCTGTCGTGGGTGACAGCTGTCGTGGGACTGTGACAGTGAAGCGCAACTTGCCATTGATCTGAACTGCCACGGTCTGACCACCACGCGCCGACAGTACATCCGCCTGCTCTGAGGTCAGGAGGGCTGTTGGCCAAGGACAGTCAAAAATTGGGGGCACGTTATATGCATTGTCTATGGTTTCACTCTTCGGGTAGCGGTCAATTATCGGTTCGTGGAGAGATTCCCAACTCTCCGAAGCTAGAGCCGGAGCAATAGGTGCGAGAAGGCGAAGTAGAGAGGAGATACACAAGTAGAGGACCTGTGGGGACGATGGTGTTGATGAGGACAATGAATTGGTTAATTTGGTCAGGTCAGAGATAACGGTATTCAACCCATAGGGGTTATGTTCTATGCAACTGGTAACGGACAAAATGGTTCTATGGGTGAAGAGAACAGCATCTGCGTCATTGTCACTGAGATTCTGCAGAGAGTGGGCGAGGGTTGTGGCGTGGTTGGACAACGTCAGCTCATCTGGGCTCAACGTGTATGACGATGAAGCAAATGTCTCTTGCGCGTCCTGCACAAGCTTCCAAACTCGGCCAAACCAGCGTTCGACACCCACAATCTTTGCTTCATCCCATTCAAGGACTTCACTGACGGGTGCGGAGAACAGCACGTGGGCGCGAGTGGCATCGGCGCCGTACTTAAGGGCGCATGCTGTTGGGTCCACGCCATTGTGCTTGCTCTTCGACATTTTTTCAAAGGACACATTAGGAGTAATCTGAGTACCTTTGATTACCGGCTTATCGGGGCTAGAAAGGTCCACTTCGGAGGGGTGGAGGAATCTCCCTGTAGAGGGCTCCGAGTACGTCTTCCCATGAACCATACCTTGGGAAAGGAGTGTCTTGAACGGCTCCGATGGCCCCGAAAGATCACCTACAAGAGCAATCTCTGGGAACAAGTCGGATTTGGCAAGGAATTTGTAAATGAACCGGGCGTAGAGTAGGTGCAAGATCGCGTGCTCGACACCGCCGATATAAACATCGACTGGTCGTGCAGATGCCGGTGAAAACGGCTGTCGTCTGTTGGCGCTATCTAAAAATCTGAGAAAGTACCATGAGGAATCGACAAAGGTATCCATTGTATCCGTATCCCGCTTCGCAGGACCTCGACACCTCGGACATTCAGTGCGGACCCACTCATCAGACGACTCCAGAGGATTTCCTCTCTTCCCTTTTAGCCAGTCCCCTTCTATCTTAGGCAACTTGACTGGGAGCTGATCGTCCGGCACGGGAACGGGGCCACAATCTCCGCAGTGAACGATAGGAATCGGGGCGCCCCAGTAGCGCTGTCTGCTAATCAGCCAGTCTCTCAGTCTCCATTGCTCCACAGCATCTCCATGGCCTACGGCTCTGAGGTCATTGATTATTTGTTGACCCGCCTCGCGGGAGTGAAGGCCCTGGTATTTCCAGCATCTTGAGTTAAGGAAGCCCTCTTGAGTATAAGCTTTCATGTCACTGGCAGGGAGATGGCCGGTGCAAGCCCCGGACTCGGCATCAGATGCACGCTGGGGCTCGATCACGACAGATATGGACACAGGCTGAACATTCTCTTTGAAGAATGCCAGATCTCTAGAGTCATGACCTGGAACTCCCATTACTGCTCCCTCTCCGTAATCACTAAGAACATAGGGGGCTGCAAATATAGGAAGCTGGCGAGCGATATGAGGGCTCTCCTTATCAATAATATGTAATGGATGAGAGGCAGTCACGGTAGATAATTTATACCCGGTCTTGGAGTCAGGAGGAAGGGAGGCCGCCTCATCCAAAAACTTACGCAGGTTTGAATCTGTCTCCGCAGCCGCTAAAACGATGGGGTGGTTCAGAGATAGAGCAAGATATTCTACTCCATAGAGCGTATCTGGCCGCGTGGTGAAGACATTTATGTCCGTACTCCCGCGTCCAGTTCCCTCTGCTGCAACAGGGAATTTGATTTTTGCGCCGTACGATTTTCCCAACCAGTTGCGCTGCATAGACAGAACCCGCTCCGGCCAGCCACCGGCTAGGGAATCCAGGTCATTCAAAAGAGCTTCCTTGAAGTCAGTTATACGGAAAAACCACTGCTTTAGGTTCAATTTTTCGACCTTTGCTCCGGACCGCCACGAGAAGCCATTAGCATCGACCTAGCCACGGAGTCAGCATCGGGCAAACGCAAAACGCCGGTTGCAATGTGTACCTGTTCGTTTGCTAGAACCGTTTTATCCACAGGATCATAATTGACCAAAGCTTCAGCCTGATATGCTAACCCTTTCTTATGGAGCATCAAAAAGATCCGTTGTGTATGTTCATAAAATTCTGGTGCACACGTCGCAAATTCCTAACGGATTGCAACAGCAAGATGTTAGCATGATCTTAGACACGAAACATCATGTTTTTGTCTCACTCGGTCCCAATCAAAGGAAGTAGATATACTCCGTAGCTGCTCCTTCATCCTGGCAATATTATCCTTCGTCCATTCTGCCGGGTCAATTCCCCGCTCTATCGCCGCATTCTCCGCTGGCAACCCAAAAGCATCCCACCCCATGGGATGGACAACTTCATGACCGCGCATGCGATAGAACCGTGCAAGCACATCAGATATGGTATACACACGTAAGTGTCCCATATGTAGCGTTCCTGACGGATATGGAAACATGGACAGAATATAAGATTTGGGCTTCTCCGTGTTGCCTTTCGTCTCCGAGGCAATGGATGGTAGATTCGACTCCTCGGAACGCCATTTTTCTTGCCATTTTCTATCGATTGCGGGTAGGTCAAGTTTTCTGGTGTTGACTTTTGGTGTAACGGTCGTTGCGAAACGGGCTCCGGTAGGGATCGAAGGTAAACGACACCCGTGCTTCCATCGTCCGTGTGCTGGGAACGTCCTAGTCGGACCCAATCGTAGGCGCGAAAGAGACAACATCGTGACTATCTCATCATTTTGCCATGCGATAGGTTATCTTGGAATTGATGCAATTGAGTCACTGCAGGTGGGATAAACAT